ACATCAGTTAGGCTTCTATAAATACACAGCAGTGACCTGTTTCTTTGTTCAAGATGTAATATCCTGTAGCAGAATTAACACTAGCAGTGGCAATAAAGAGTAACTGAAAGCTGAAGCCTGGGCAGAATTTTCACTAGAAAGTATCTGGAGTTGGTAGTAAGTTCTAGCAGAGGCTGATCCCGAGAGGCCAGCTCCAAAATGGCATTTTTGCACTTAGCACTCACGCAGCCGAGTCAGTCAGCAGCAAAATCCTCCCTACAAGCGGGAATTTGGATGAAGAGCAACCAGAAACACCAGCTAGTTCAGAACGACTCCGCCTCACCCAGGCCAGGGTTCCAGTCTCATCCCCACTGGTCTGAGGAGGATAAGGATTCTTTTTAACTCCAAAGATTAAATTTGGTGGATAATGGAAAGATGTTAAGGACCAATGATGCTTCTGGTAAAAAGAGTTTATTTCCCTGATTAAGCACTCATTTCCCTTACTAGCAGATAGTGCTCCATGGGTTGTCATATCACTATCGTTTTATGGTAGTTACTTGTTTCTACGTGTACTCACATACAAAAATAGCTTTGCTTAGCTGCAGAATAAGTGTAAAGTATCATAAAGAACATGCACTATTATAGCAGCACTGACTCACTGGAAGACAGTACACACGTTGCTCCCATGCAGCTGCTGTGGTAATCAGGCAGTAGGTGCCTAGGGTTGGATCCCTGGTATCTTCACTTAGCTGCCACTTTAGTCCTGCAGGTTAAAAACAAGACAGAGTAAGGTCCGTGCGAGGTGTCTGCCTGTGAGTGGGCCCTAGGGCACTGCTGGAGCCTGCTGGTGACCCGTCCAGTCCCTGGAGGGCAGCAAGTGCCACACCACGGCCCTGTCCGAAGGAGCTCAGCTGAGCACAGATGGGGCACGTGAAGCGTCAACTGCCCTATGTCCTCCCCACGCACGTCTTAGTTGGAGGCTGCAATGAGCAGCTCCAGCTGCCCAGCATCCTCTCCTACCTGGTCAGGAATTGTATATTTAAGTACATTGCCACAGCGGACAATGATTTCCTTCAGCAACAGGGACTGTCACCAGTAAAGCTCCCCCGAGTTCGTTTCTGTGCTCTGTTTTGGGCAGTAAGAGCACAGAATGCCCAACCAGCAGCCCACAGGCAGTTCTACACGGGCGCCTGCCTGTCCCTGTGCAGGAAGGATTTAAGATTCACTGCTGCAAATGCAGCCCAGTGAATAGGTTCAATGAGAAAGAAATGCCAGGTTCAGAACTGCCTAAGTATTTTACATTAAGCAGGCACAGTAATAACCTGCAAGATGTTAAGGCGTTAGAACTGACTCCGCATTCTCCAATTACCTGTAGCATCAGATACAAAATATCCATTCTTACTGTATGGTTCCAAGACCCAAATGGTGTCTAGAAAGCGCAAGATCTCTGCGAAGAGTCTGCTATGTTACAGGACTTTTGTATTCTGCCATTCCTTTAAAGCTTCCTGCAGCGAAGTCTGAGTAATCTCTTCCTTTATTGTTTACTGTGCTGAATTGCAAATTTAACTTTTGCACCAGACAGGTGACTATGTTGCACTGAGCAAAGCACAGTCAAACTGATAAACTAAACAGGATGACTCATAAGCATAGCAAGTGCCACCTGAAATAACCTCCATGTACCCCTAAAACGTTGCTTCATTCTGTTTTCTACCTTCAGTCATTTGCTATTTACATGAGGCCGGGACTGGGGCATGGCAGGACCTGTGCAGATTCTACCAAGTACATACCATACTATTTATATTTTGCTTTTCTGAGCAGCTTAACTTTCATCTACAGGCTGAGCTTAGAGTTGAGCCTAGGTAGAACCCAGGCTGGTATTTTACAACAGGCTTCAAATCAGTATCTCCCATAAAAGCAAAGGAAAGCACTAATAGAGCTGACTGTCTTAGGACAGTTTCACCTGCTTTTCATTTCGTCACTGTGGAAGAGGTCTAAACACACTGTAGGGGAAAAGATTATAGGTTTTCTGACTAGGGAAATAAGGATTTCCTTGTAATGTCAAGGGTATATTCCTAGTAACTGCTCTTTGCCTTTAGATTACTTATCCCATTATCCAACTCCTGCTGTGTGAGGGTAAAAACAATAGTTGATAAGCCTGTAGCATCTCACAAATGACCCCTTCACAGGCCTACTGGTGGAACACAATTAAGCATGGGTTACTTGAACATTACATACGGAACAGCAGGTTGCTGAATATATGAAAGATAACAGCTCACCCTTAGAAGCTCTGCTCAGCATTTTGTAATGGTAAACACAATGGTTTAGACTGTACAGTACATATGGTCAAAATTCACTTTGTCTTGCTATAGCAAAGAATGCAGACCATAAATAATTCATTTCTCAGTATGCTTCAGTGAGTTGTAGTTTTCTCCTAATTTCTTTGGGCATCCTTCATATTCTTTTTTTTTCTTTGTACAGTGAGAGCTTTTCCATTTTTACATTTTTTAAGACAAACGATGTCGCATTGCTTACCCCCAGATTATATTTTCCTTCCTAGACACAGGCATCTGTGACCTTCATACACTGGCACCAGGGTACCTGGTTACATCTTTAAAACTCAGGAAGGTTTGTAGTGTGGGGGGATCCTTCCTTAAGATAGGTGGGAATTGGAGGCTCTAAGGAAAGCAGAGCTTCCCGGCCCTCCTGCGTGTCGGTAATTCAGAGCAGACCTCTCGCGACACGGCCCGTCCCCGCGCGATGGGCGCCTCCGGGGCCAGCAGGAGCAGGTGGCGACGCCGGCTCCTCAAAATGCTGCTTCTTTCACCAACACCAGCAGCCTCAAAGCTCCCTTGGCTGTGAATACACCATAAAAATAAAGCGAGAGCCTGTGCATCAGGTTACCGCGGGCTGTGGCCTTGGATAGCTGTGACTGACATACAAGGATCATAGACCAGATATTAAACAAACACACACACCCAACACACGCTCCTGCCAAAGCCTCTCTGCCAAGCTTGCTGTTTGCGCTCGCTTCACGTGTTTCATTTCCCACTCAGGTGAACTGCACTGTACTTGCAAGCAATACCCATTACCAGTGACAACCTGGAGACCCCCCTTCCCATGCAGCGTAACACGCACGGGGCTTCTATCTCTCGCCCCAGAAGATTACCACAAACCCCTGGAGAAGGAGCTTCAGCTTTCCTATCCGAGTTACCGTTCAACTTCCTGCCCCTTTGGGCAGCCCTAGCAAACAGGGTAATACAAACATTCTTAAAAGACTTTTAGAAACATCTCCAGAAGCAGGTAAGAACCCCGCTGCTTGCACCCTATCCAAACAGACGGGCACCACCTCAAATTCACAGGCAGCACGGCCCGTAGCTGCGCGCCTGGCTGCCGGCTGCTGAGCAGGCAGCGCCGTCGGGCCCCGCGGGCGGCTGCTCCGCAGCGCCGGCACGGCATGCAAGAAAGGTACGTAGAATCATATATATACACACACACACACACGCACACACACACATATAGAGGAACTTCTTAACTTTTGTGATTCATGAGATTAATCAATACTTAATTGTTCTGTGGTAATAAAAGCATTCAATTAAGATTTATAAAACATCAAATGAAGAGGGAAGAATAATCCAGTTAGTTGGTAGTGTGAACTGAATCTGCAAAGGAATTCCAGAGCAATGAGTACAGCTTTTACCGACTTACAGGTTTTTCAAGACAAAATGTAGAAATCTGGGGGGAAGGAGGGAATTTTATTGGTTTGGAGGTGAAGATGACCCAATTTCATCTAAATTGAACCTGTTCCAAAATTTCTGAAAAAAGAAAGGAAGCATGACAGAAAAGCAGATCTTGCATACCAGTCTAAGAAGTTGGTCTAAGTCAAATAGCATTTGCAAGCCTAATTTTTTCTTTTTGTTAAATTATCATACTCTGAAGGAAAAGCAAAGATGAATGGACTTGTGTGAACACTGATTTTGCTCATCTATTAGTGAAGAATTCAGTCAAGGATTCCAGAGTACTTTATGAAGCCTTCAACACAAGCGTTTCTTTACCTGCTGCAGATGGTTGTTTAGCTCTTCTCATTCTAACCAGTCTTCCATGCTACCCACCCCCATTTTTTGATGCAAATATTGCTGACTCCTGCAAAAGACCGAAGTATTTCTTTCATGCTCATAATAATGTTCCCCCAATCAGACAAAAAAAAAAAAAAACAGAGAATATCAAGAACATCAGAAGAGCTGTGTTTGTAACGTTAATTCATGTGATTCCACGCTCAGCTCTTCTTGCTGCTCTTCCTGTCAACCCTTCTCTTCTTGGTTGTTGCCACCTTTCCTGCCCTCCCCACATTATAACGTGCAGCCTTTTCTACTTGAACGGTTTCTCTGATGTGCCTGCTTTATTTTCTTATTCCAAGTATCATCTGTGATAAACGCCCAGTATCTCTGTAGAACAGATTATAAATTTTCTTCTCAACTGTTTGTTTCTTTTGGCTCTTTTTAAGGTCACCACTCTTGGGTAAACAGGCTTAAGTTCTGCTTAGTGAATTTTCTCCACGTTAATTGACAAATGCAGCTATATGATGCCTGTCTTTAACCTCACCTTTCAGAAGCACCATTCTCTAGCCAGTTACTTATTACCGACTGCGTGTATGTTGGTGTGTGCAGTTACAAGCAGCATCCTCTGATGTGCTCATTCTTTCTGGCCAGAGGAGCCATAAGGTGACAAACACACTTGCATCAGACATAGGGACTCCACTAACACGAAGGGGAGCAGAAAGCTGTTCTTTTCTGCTAATCATTTAGGATGCAAGTTAAAGCCAGCAGTTTCCTTCTGATTTCATACTTAATGAATCACTATAAACATGACACCTGGGAGCTGTATTGCTAGATTTTTTTTCTCTACAAGCCTGAGCCTCTATCACCTCAACAGCATCTTTTACTACAAACACATTTTATACCTAACCTGCAACTGTCAACTAAATACACACTATTTTCTTTTTTTTTTTTTTTCATTTTGCACAGGCGTTAAGGCTGTATTTTCTGGACATTACCACAGGAATGCTGGGGGTTCCTACAGAGGACTGGAAATGGTGGTTTCATCGGCAATAGGATGTCAGCTGGGAGAAGATGAACATGGGCTTCGAGTGGTTGTTGTCACAGCTGAAAAGATTGTTCATCGATATTACAGTTTAACTGAACTGAGCAGCCAAGGAATAGATAAAGATCTCATGGATATGCTTGGCAAGCAAAATTAGGCTGCATCAAATCCCTTTCAACTCAAGAGGTTGATGGGTGTTTCTTCCACTTCAAACATACGGAAAGTTCCAGAAGTTTCCACAAGGTGAAGACACCTTTCTCATTCTGCACCATGCCCCAACACAGCTCTCTATTTCTTTAAATCCTAAATAACAAAACAAGAAAAGTGCTGAAGTGTTTCCCCTTTAGAAGATGAAACCTCCAGTTATACATGGAAAAACAACCGAACGAGCACAACAATATATTTTTGAAAAGGCCTAGATTTTTTTACTCTGTTCCTGGACTTTCTTATCTGAGAAAGTATAGCCAAGAACAAGAGCAGTTGCTTCCAGGTAACCCCGCAATTTGAGTCTATTTTAATTTGATATTTAAGACATTTTAAAATCAGTAAATTTGATCATTTCTATTATACTCCAAGCAATAAAAATGTGCCATGTTTTTACTCCAGAGGGACAAATCTAAAACTCAGTGAAATCAACACGACTCTTACCAGCCTTTGGCTCAGACCTTGTTGCCTGCAGTGGTCATATTTTCTCCCATTTTCCACAGCCATTTAAGTTCTTCAGAACCAGCAGCAGTAGGAGAGCAAACACATTCCACTTTTGCGAAGTCACAGCTTGGGGTTTCATTATAACCTGATTTTATATTATGAAACATCTGTAACAGATGCCACTGAGAGAAATTACACACAGAACAATTATTTTCCTTTTTAACTGTAGCTACCATTCAATTAGCATATATTATTGCTCTGTTTAAAAAGCTGGAATACCTGGACAAGAAAATATTCTCTACAGAAAGCTATCATCAGAAGTCACTGTTGAGTCCTAGATAAGTGGTAAGCTTTCATTTTCAAATGCAATTTACGAGTGCCTTGTTGTAGTATTACAGCCATGAGTGTTAAAAACGTGTAAAAGGCACATTGTGTTCACTGAAGTAAGTCTAAAAATACATATGATCTAACAAGAGGAAAGTTCCATTCTAAGTTCATGTGCTGCAAACTGTCTGTTTTTGTAGCATATATGTCTGATTTATTTCTAAAAAACCGAACAACCCTGCAGCAGGGCTCTGCCTGCACGGAGCTGCCCCATGCCACCATACGGTAACCATTTGGGCAGCTGATCTGTTGTGGAGCAGCTGTACCTGCAGATGGACAGGACCCCGGCTGGGTCCCTCCCAACGCACCTTCCCAAGCTAACTGCCTAAGTCT